ATCATAACAGTTTATAAATCGATCTCAATATTTTTTAATTATATTGTTTCTAAATCAACTCCATATTATATCTTAAATTATCTCTCAAGCTTAACTAAATTTTCAGAATAAATAATAATCTAATATTAACATAACAATTTATACATAATTTTTAATTTGATTTTGAAAATTAAATAATATTTAGAAAAAAGGAAAGGCTCATTGAACAGTATTAAAGTCTGCACGATATTTAAGGATTTCCTAACAATATAAATAATTTATACACTTTCATTTTTTAATCAAGCATAACTCCTTCTAAGTGAAAAAAAATATTTAGAAAAGCTCTGACAGTTATAGTCGCATTCTACTCAGAAATTAAATCGATGATTAATGCATATCTGATGATTATTTACAAATTTGTAAGAGTAATGAAAGCAAAAATACAATTTGGCTATATTTTCTTTAATTTAGCTGAAAAAAGGTGACTAAATTAATTATTCCTTTCTCATTACATGTCAGAAAATTTCTATCTTTAAGCATCAAAGCTTAAAAAAGGGAAGGTATTTTTGAGAAAATTTTAATGAAAATTTATAATAGAACACTTAGCCAAGTTGAGTTGAGATAAAACATGTTTTGTAATTATTTCTTCTTCTAAATATCTGTTTTAAGAAGTAAGCATAGAAACTGGCAAAGCTAACTCAGGTATTGCCCCTATTATTTAAGTAGTTCTCAACATTATTGGATTTTTCAACTTTAATATTTCAAATTAATCCACTCCTTTGTATCTTAAATTGCCATCTCTACTTCTGTTGATTATACTTTATCTCCTATTTATTAGCTTAGATGTGATTGTTATGAATTAATATTAATTCAACTACTTCATAAATGTAATTAGGGCCAATTGCGCTTTATTCTTGATTTGAATATGAAAATCATAAAAAACTTGGGTTATTGCTAAAATAAGCAATTTTTTTAAGCCTTCTGAGCTTTAATTTATACTAATCGTTTATTTTATCTCAATCTAATAAAAATAAACCCTATAAAGTATAATATAAAAATTTTAAGATATAAGAATATCTTTATATAATTTGTTTAATTGCATTTGAGTCATTGTTTATTTTTTATGAAAAAGTTTTCATTC